GTGCAAAATAGTGCTCGAATAATGAAACTGCAACTCAGCATTGCGAGAGGTGCGTTTCTGTTCTAGTTTCAAATTGAAACAATCCTTATAAAATACAACAGCATTGCGAACGGCCTGAGATTATTTCTTATATAGCAGTTTGCGGTAGTACACAATGCCTCTCAAAAATAATTACAGTGAATATTCACTTCCGCTAAGAGATGCACGTACTGTTTCAACTTACCCCGGTGTACCTTAACTATGATGCTTACTATCAAAACATTGAACGGATGGAGATGTCACTGAAGTTATCTAGTGCCATACCATCCAGCATGTACTAATTTGTAGTACAGGAAGCCATCCAGTACCATACCATCCAGAAAGCAACATAAATAAACTATTGCATACTTCACGGCGTAAATGGAGCAATTGTGCTAAATTAACTTTTAAATCAAAATTTACAACCATTAATGATATTACATATAATTTAACCATGTATGGTGGGAAAACCAGTGACAAACCATTCCAGTTCTTCACCTAGAATATTCTAGAATATCTAAACAAGACATTTAAACATTAAGACATCTTGGCTAATTGTTTTGAAATTGTTTGATTGACTTTTTTTATTTCAAAGAGGAGTTCTTCAAAGAAATTTGAAAATTTTTCTACAAATACTTGCTGGATGGGAATACTGAGTCAAATATAAATAAAGTGATTTATTCAGAGTATTCAGTAATATCTTAAGAAGACATTTGCATGCTTAAACATCATGGCTGATTGTTTTGAAATAGTTTGAGTGATTTTTTTTACTTCAAAGAGGAGTTCTTCAAAGAATTTTTCATATTATTTTACAAATACTTGCTGGATGGGAATACTGAGTCAAATATAATTAAAGTGATTTATTCAGAGTATTCAGTAATATGTTAAGAAGACATTTGTATACTTAAACATCATGGCTAATTGTTTGGAAATTGTCTGATTGATTTATTTTTACTTCAAAGAAATTACTTACTTACTTTTGGCTTCCCGCAGTATAGGACCTAGTTGGGTGAAATTATCTTAATTTTTGGTACGTTCTTTGTATCGTGTTTATCACGTGATATAGGCCGATAGGCTGTTGTATGAACGGGATATTGCCATAGAGGTAACTCTAAGACCACAAGGTCCCGAAGAAACGTGCTCAACTTTTTGGGTCAGCTCTGGTACTCTCTTCGGTCCCAAGCTAATCGATGTGTCCCTCGAAACATAGGAAAATCCACTAACCCCTCATTTTATCTGTCAAACTTTCATAGCAAATCAAAACAAACATTGTGTAGTAGTAGAATTTCGACTAGCATGGGACAAACATTTTCAAATTTCTTTGAAGAACTCCTCTTTGAAGTAAAAAAATCAATCAAACAATTTCAAAACAATTAGCCATGATGTTTAAGTATGCAAATGTCATCTTAAGATATTACTGAATACTCTGAATAAATCCCTTTAATTATATTTGACTCAGTATTCCCATCCAGCAAGTATTTGTAGAAAAATTTTCAAATTTCTTTGAAGAACTCCTCTTTGAAGTAAAAAAAATCAATCAAACAATTTCAAAAAAATTAGCCAAAATGTCTTAATGTTTAAATGTCTTGTTTAGATATTCTAGAATATTCTAGGTGAAGAACTGGAATGGTTTGTCACTGGTTTTCCCACCATACATGGTTAAATTATATGTAATATCATTAATGTGTGTGTGTGTGTGTACAATCTAACCCCCACTGTCCGGCAGTGTTATTATGGAAGAAAACTGCTTTTTATTAACCTTCAATTAAAGCAGGTTTAGTCCGGGAGTTAGAAGGTGTTAGCTCTATTGCAGCTCCAGTGACCCATTTCAGAATGCCTGGTAATTCACGACCACTCCGAGGTCACTTTTACTTACAATAAGCCCCGCATGTTCACTCTACCTTTATCAAATGGATAATGGTATCATAAACACACTTCCAGATTCAAAAAATATTATTTCCAAATCTGGCACGTATATAGTTTTGAAATTTGTTCAACTGTATTAAATCGATTTGAATGGACATTTCTTTCCAATTTTGTTTCGAATAGCTCTTGATTCATCTGCTGGCAGCACTTACTGACCCTTACCGGCGACCAACTCGTCTGCCCGCAAAAGCAACAACGCCTAAATCTCAAAGCTCTCCGGACGTCCTCTCGAAAATGCAATCGAGATATGTATAAGAACAATCTTCAACTGGAACGTACTTACCAAATCAATACATCCGGGAGCACATTCCCGATGCTTATTTTTCTCTCGCATGCCCGTCATCGTCGAACGGCAAAAAAAGGGAACTCGGTGAGCAATTTTGTGATACGGAATTTTCACTGAACATAAACCGCGAATTTACGAATTTCACCACTCCCAACTGCGAAACACGTTTAGAAGCACTTTTGGTACACTTTCGATCAATTTCTTTCGAAAACACAAAAAAAGTTGCAAGCAGCGAGCCAACATCAACACCGATTGGCCGAACTCATGCACGCACCTTGCAGCGCGTAAATAAACTGAAATTAAAAATTATCACTCGCGATGCCACTAATTTAAAAAAAAAAAAAAAAAAAAAAAAAAAAGCATATGTAATATCATTAATGGTTGTAAATTTTGATTTAAAAGTTAATTTAGCACAATTGCTCCATTTACGCCGTGAAGTATGCAATAGTTGATTTATGATGCATTCTGGATGGTATGATACTGGATGGCTTCCTGTACTACAAATTAGTACATGCTGGATGGTATGGTACTGGATAACTTCAGTGACATCAGATGGAGAACCTGTATACGAGCTTTTGCTCTGACTTTGAAATTCAATAACTGAATCCCACTAATTCCAATTGATGTTGTACTAAGCATCTACTTTTTGGAAACCAAACGTTTGGTTTGAGAAAAGTCTCAGTATTCTATTTTGCATGATTCTACTGAAGTACATAATGATGATGCATGATAATTTTATGTTGGGGTTGTCCTCTAAATTGGAGAACAAAGAGGTGCTTAAACCCGGTACATCGCTGACATATGAACCAACATTTTGTTCAGTATTTAAAATACCGTCTTCTGATAGGGAAAACAACTGCCTGTTGCGTTATCATAAAATGCAACCTTCACTCTCTTCACTGCTTCAGAGACCTTATTTAATACTAATGATGGAGCTACTGAAATAAAGTATTTTTTGGGAATTGTTTTATCCCACAACATGTATGTCGTTTTTGTGTACTATACTGAGGTGCAAATCAACAAAAAAATGTGAGAAAAATAGTGTCAGTCCCTATTGTAGTCGATGTCGATGTCGAATTTAGTGCACATTGATCACAACAAAATAGCTATTCATTGATCAATCCAATGCAGTTATGTAGGGAAAATTCGGTCAGTTTTTAACCATTACACTAAATTTAAATATCTCCTGCGTAAGATGAACGGTGGTCTGATTATGATAACATGAATTGTCACAAGTTTTGAACCATAGCCGAAAAATTGAAATACATGAAAAATTTAAGATAAAGTATGATAGTCAAAAATGCATGACTTTCATCAATTTTACGTAGTTCTACGTCATACTGCGGTCGTGTCTAGGAAACAACCCTTTAATTTTATTTTGCCTTCTTTGCAATAGCTGAGTGCGGTGCTGGTCTTATATTGCAACCCCACAAAAGTCACACCATTTGCTGGCAAAGACGTTTGCACGTTTGAGGCAATTTCTAATCATTAAGCAAACACATTGTTCGGAAATTATGATTCGACCGTAAATATTTGAACAAGAATCTACACAAGTCCGATGGTTTTACAGTTTGACACCAGTAAAGAAGCGTAAGTTTGAACGGTATGTTTGACCGTGAATGCATCATGTGTTTATGAGCGGCTAACAGGTTTAACGAAAAAGACAAATTTCAAGCATGAGAAATGGTGAAAAAACCATAAAAACATACACAACCGAGCCATGACGGTGGCGCTATTTACGTTCAATTGTTTCAATCGGTCAATGTCATGACAGGTGTTTGGATTGTCGATGTCTTGTTGGTGCCGAATTTTCTAATTTTGAATACAAAACATATCACTTATTAGTAATCGGGACATTTTATTGACCACCATAAAAATGTGCCGCGAAATTTTCGAAGCTTACGTTGTTGACTGACAGTTGATGCAAGTTGATTTCAAATATTTCGTAAGCGACAAAGTGTGTAAACAGATATAGTACCTGTGTATATATTAATCGTCTAGAGTTGACATATTCGGTACAAGAATGGCCGTTTATGCGAATGGGTTTATCAAATTGTCAATATAGTTCTATGGAGAATAAAGACTGATGTCTCCGAGTACAGATTATTACCCGTCGTGTTTTTTTTAACACAGATGAAGTGATGCACTTAATTTCATTGAAATTCGAGGGAATAATTACCGCAAAGAAATTAATCATGGATCTCGAAAAAACTTACTTGCAGATATTTTGACATTTGGCAGTTTGTTTACTTTTTTATGTTCAGTGTCTGATTTGGTTGGTTTAGATCAGAAAGCATTTGGTTGTGTTATCACAAATGACTTGAAAATTGAGGATGGCGGTGAAAATTTAAGCAGTGACCCAAAAACTGACAAGCGAAATCGTAGAACCATAAGTGATCGAATGAGGAAACCTTACATTCCATTGCCGGCATTCTATCACTCAAATTAGAAACAAATTCTTTAAACTTTAATCGCTCTTCGGCTTACTGTCAACCATCAAGCTGTCAAGTTCGCACCATACTGACTTAGGCTATCTGAGGCCCCCTGTTACAATCTTTGGAATCTTTAACAATTTGATTCTCTTGTCAGAACATCACTTTGTTGTCTGCATTTCTTTTATTACGTCATTTTTACACATTTATTGCATTTAGCCGGAGGAATCCCCGCAGCGCAGCACCCACTGGTGAATCCCCACGAGAGCTGTATAAAAAGGACCAGTTCAATGATGCCTTCTATCAGTTGTGTTGAATCGCCTGACAGAACAGTTTGATCAAGTGCTAATATTATAACGCAACAAAAATGACTAAAACTCTTTGTTTCGGAACTTTCTTGTTCTTGTTCTTTGTGCCACTCATTTCAGCTCAGGAGAAACAAGCATCTTGTAGCACATTTGGATATGAACTGCTCGCAGCCCGTTTGGACGCTCTCGAGAATGTGTAAGAAGTTGTTTTCCTGCTGATAAGATTTAATGTTAACACAATACTTATCTTGCAGTGCAATGAAGTCTCAGCTCAAATCGACGGGAGAAATTCAAAATCTACGCAATGATGTTCAAGAATTAACTAGAAATATTCAGTCTTCGATGTGGATACACTCTGGAGAGATCATCCGAGAAGGTAATGGGTTGACGGTTTCAGGTTGGTACGATTCTGTATGTTATGAATTATTAGTATTAAATAGGCAAACTAAATGTTTATCATCAGGACTACCTCGGTCGTGCAGTGAATTGCTATCTAGAAAATCAGGCATCCATCGACTGGCTGTATCACGTGGAATCAAAACAACATTCGATGTTTATTGTGACCAAGAGTTTGAAGGTGGTGGCTGGCTTGTGTTCCAAAACCGCTTCAATGGTGCAGTAAATTTCTATCGTCCTTGGGCCGAATACAAGGAAGGCTTCGGATCATTAGATGGAGAATTCTGGTTGGGACTTGATAAACTGCATGAGGTAGATGAAAGTTCTTTACGTAAATCTTAATTTAACTATCAAATATTATTTTGCTCATTTCTAGATAACTTATTCCGCCCAGTATGAATTGGCCATTGTAATGGAAGGTTTTGATGGAGACAAAGCAGTTGCTCGATACTCCGAGTTTGCAATCGGAAGCGAAGTGGAGTTTTACAATTTGAGTAAACTTGGAACATACAGCGGGACAGCCAATGATAGTCTGACCTACCACTCTGGTGTTAAATTTTCAACATTTGATCGAGATAACGATGAACACGACTCGAATTGCGCTTTGACCTATATTGGAGCATGGTGGTACAAAGCGTGTCATTACAGCAATTTAAATTCACGTTACGGATCGCAAGGACTCCCAAATCGTATTGTGGTCTGGCGTAAATGGAAGGGGGACTCGTATGCGTTGAAAAAGACCCGAATGATGATCAGGCAGAAATCATTATCATAGCTAGCACATTGATCACAAGTATTAAGGATTACAAATCGAATTAGAAGTAACTTTTCGAAATAGCAATACAAATTATAGTGAATTTGGCAGAATAATAGGACAACAATTTATATCACGCCCAACTAACCAATCGCACCAAATCCAAAACTGATACAGTGTTGATGTTCGATTTCTTTTTTGAAGTTAACAGTGTTGTTCGCGATTGAAGCGAACGTAATGTGTTGTAGAAGTAGTAGTAGTTGTTGTTTTGTGTAATCGCCCTAACCACTTACCCAATCCTTTAAAAACTCTACTAACCCCGAGGCGACCGCGGGTAATCGGTTTCCGAAACTAACCCAAATGTGCTACATGTGTAATTTGTATCAAGACCCTGAAAACAAGCTTTGATCATTTCCTTACGCTGCCGCTGGCTTGGCACGAGCATGCAAGCAGTACACGGTAAGAAAAAGTACCCAAAATTGAGTTACTTTCACTCATCACGTGGCTTCCGTGGGGCTAGGTAAAATTAAGTTAAAGAAGAAAACTCAATTTTGAGTAATCCTGATCATGAATCCACGTTGACCAAGTTGACAAAAAAATAATAAGACAGAGCAGACTGGAACCGAACCATGGACGTTGAGATTACGGGGCCCGTGTGTTGACCACTCGTCTATCAACGCTTGTGAAAATGAAATGGTTAAAGGCGCATAAGAGCAACCTCAATGAAAATAAACTTATATTTGAGTTCATTTATTATTACTCAATAGTTGAGTAAATTTTAACCAACGCCGCTTTTCTGATTGACTCAACGGCGGACCTCAAATGATAGAACCCAACGTTGAGTTCTTTTTAACTTAATTTTGAGTATTTTTTTCTTACCGTGTACATTTTTCGGTCTCCAATTTTCTTGCATTGGACCGCAGCTAGGTATATCGCATCCTCGGTTCATGCGGTTTCCACTAACATCCTCTGCTGATGAATCCCACATAATTGTAAGCGAATCTTACATCCCCTGGTTGGGTGTGGCTGCTCTAACAATTTCAGTCGAAAGAATTGTCAAAAACTGTTTTGAAACGCTTCTACAAAGCTCAAATATTCTCTAGTGAGAGCGAGTATTATAACCAACATCTTTTTATTCAGCAACGTTTCTATTTGAGCTGCGTGTTAAACAGCTGTGCTTTCATCGGCAACTTGAAATCAGCAGCATTTTGTACACGCAAACCAAAAATCTATTACAATGAATGTTCGTTCCAACGGCGCCGGTGGTGTAGTGGTAAGCGTGATTACCTCTCACCCCAGCAGGCCTGGGTTCAATACCAGTCGGCGCCGCCGGGATGTTCTGAGGAATAACATCTCTGATCACGCCTTCCTTCGGAAGGGAAATAAAGCCGTTGGTCCCCGGTTCATGAGTTGTTGGGTCGATAGGTAGGGTCCAGGTGTGGGAGCTGCCTTCCTGGCACGTCGGTAGCATTGGTGCTCAGCACGGAAAACAAGATCGACGGAAAAACAAAAAAAACCAAAGGAAAAAAGGAAAGGAATGTTAGTTCCGTTTCCTATCATCCTCTATTCATGAACATCGCAACGAATGTTATAAATTGACCTAGTAGGCGATGCAATGTTTTTTTTGTCTTTTTTATTTCGTGTTCTATCTACACTTTCGACTATACCAGTAACCTTGTAGACGCACACACTTGCTTCGAATCTCTCCAGCAGAAAAAGCATACGAAGTCGAGTATGCGAGAAAATGAGCGCTTCATGTTTGCTTTTAGGCTATCCATACTCAGAAGCATGGAGAGAGCAGTGGAGAAAGCACAGGTCTGATAATCGCAACGTTCGTGGTTTTCGAGTCCAGTCGGCAATCTGTTTCCTATGTTTTTTCGACATAATTAATTTCACTCACTAATACACTCTACATTTTTCGGTCTCCAATTTTCTTGCATTGGACCGCAGCTAGGTATATCGCATCCTCGGTTCATGCGGTCTCCACTAACATCCTCTGATGATCAATCCCACATAATTGTAAGCGAATCTTACATCCCCCGGTTGGGTGTAGCTGCTCTAACAATTTCAGTCGAAATAATTGTCAAAAACTGTTTTGAAACGCTTCTACAAAGCTCCAATATTCTCTAGTGAGAGGGACTATTGTAGGCAACATCTTTTTATACGGCAACATTTCTATTTCAGCTGCGTGTTAAACAGCTGCTCTATTATCGGCATCTCGAAATCAGCAGCATTTTGTAGTGCGTGTGTTTCATTTCAAGAAAACCCTGCTAGATCACTTTTTCTTCAGTGGTAAATCAAAAATATAATCAAATTAAAGCTGAAAGTCTAAAGAATCGTTAGAATGTATTCAGCGAAGGTTTTCGTAAGTAAATCCAGTGAAATTAGCCGAAAATAGTCTGTCATGCCGAAGCCGTCATTTCCCCTACAACAAGCTTTATAAGAACTGCAAAAATTTTAGAGAAGTTTCAAGAACTTCGAGAAAGGTATTGATCTCGCTAATAAAGCTCTAAACAAAAAACACATATATTCTCAGAGCAGAGATATTCCTGAGCAGGGAAATTACATAAGCTATAAAAAAGTTTCGAGAAATTCAGTGAATTGTTAACACTTTAGAGAAAATTCATGATCGTTAGGAAAATTAGAATATTTAGAAGGCCCGAAAAAGTTTAGAGAAGCTTAAAAAAATGATGAGGCTAGTTTCTCAAACTACAAAAGAACTTCAAGGCAGTTTAATTGAATGAAGACATCAGCATAGTCCATTTCATCTTCAACGGAGATTTCTCATGAAAATTCGTTTGGAGTTTACTATCTTAGGCTTAGCCTTCACATGAAGTTTAAAACTTCTCAGAAGTACCATGAATGTAGAATGCAGTTGATGTTTTTCTCATAGATTTTTTCCCACATCTCCCATGGAATGAGGTCATTAGAAATTATAATAAAAATCCATGAGCCTTAAAACTGTGCAAGGAAATTGTGAAAATTTCTTGAAGTATCATAACTTTTCAGTTCAAAATTCATAAAAGTTATGCGAAACAAGCATATTCTAGAACCAAAAAAAATCACTTGAAGTCTCTGAATTTTAAAAATGTATTTGTTTCATAAACCATTCTAGATCTATAAAGTTCAATAAGTGAATGAAAATAACTAGGAATATTAAATGTTCTTATTTTAAAATGCATTCTTAGTAAGAAAATTATTAAATTTCCTGAATAGCGATAAGATTCCCTGATACTTCCAGGTATTTTCAGGACAAATAAAATTCCCTGCGAATTCCCGGATTTTCAGGTTCTTACAGGTAGTAGAAGCTTGGAGGTTTAGTCATAAACTTTCTTTTGAATCTTTCGTTTTAAAGGTTCCTATCGTACATATTTAAGTGTTAATGAGAATCTAATTGAATAAGTCTAAAACATCAAACATTTATTTGGTATGCCATTAGTACGACTAATTTTTTTCCCTTAGCTCACTTTGTAGTCACTTTTTTACAACTATAAGTCACTATTTGGTCACTTATTTCTTTAACATGGTCACTAAAATCACCATTTTCGACAGTATAGATCGCTACCAGCCCTGTTCTACTGACGAAACAGTGAAGGAATATTATTTCTCCAGATATTTCAACCAAAATCCCATATCAATTTTAAATCAAAAGTGCCAGGTCGTGCTACATCCGAATGAAATATTATGAAATTTTCATAGAGTATTTTTCACCTAATGGCACAAATCTAGAGGCCCGTTGAAAATAAAAAAAAATACCTCCTATAAATGTGGGCCAGTCTACTGGCGACGTGTGGTCATGGATCGAGTAGAGTGGAAACGACTTCTTCGGATAGGATAGGACAACAAGGCCTTAGCCTGATTGAGTGAGTGTGTCAGTTCAGACTGTTTAATTTTCATTTAATCGATGTTCAACCCCACAGTATATCGATGTTACAGAACGATCGCTCTAATCCGTATACAATAGGACCAAAACCCATCACATGAGCATTCAAATATAAGTTCAATAATAGTCAAGGGAGGTTCAAGGGAGGTGGCCAGTTTATGGCTTAGACCAAATCCCATCATACGACACCTTAAATCACTTAAAATTCTCTACATTGATAATAACTGGACACGTAAAGGAAGCCCAGAGGTCTTTATTTGGTTCAAAAACCATCATACGATATCTCAAATATCATGAAAATCCAAAAAAATTGATGCACGGCAGTCATATTATCATAAGCTAAAATCCAGCACGTCACACTTCAATTCACATAATTATTTAAGCCTGTGTGTAAAGATTTTTCTTTGCAGTTTTCTACATTGTGTTATGAGGTCATGCAATAATAACTTAAGTAATTTGTTTTTATTTTGAAACCCTCTCTTCTTCCATTGTTATTGTAATATTTAACGAAAAACTCTCCGCCCCTTCATAAGATCTTATATCAAATATTTGAATGACTTGTACATGACTTGTTCATCCTTACGTAAGATATTTCTGAGACCCCTCCCTCCCATGTAAGAGATCGTAAGACATTTTTTGACCCCACCTATTCGCGTCTTGTGTTTTTTTTTGTCACATTGCTGTTGCCTCCATGGTTGCAGTAATGATTTTATGACACATGATATGGTTACAAAATAGTGGCAGTAACTTTAATGTGACAACATGCACTACTTGGGTAATTAACGTCATATTTTATAAGCTTTTCTGATCTGCAGTAAGGCAAAATTCTGCAAATTACTTCGGATAATCGAACAACATAACCATATACACATTCAAAAGAAAATATTTCATCCACCAAAACATTACAACAGAAGGTCGAAAACGACATAATCGTTTAGCGATTCAACCTTCTTCTAGTACAAACATCTCAATACACCGCGAAACACTATAGCATAAAACGGATCGGAAACGACGCAGGTCATCAATTCAATAATAAATTGGAATATTTAAACAAAATTCTCTCGCAGCTCTAAATTTGCATACAATCGAACATAAAAATGTATTCCCTCTGATGCTGGTGCCCCTCCGCAAATATGGCGAACACACACACACATAATCTAATGCAATATGGTTCAATGTTAAATTT